AGGGCTGTACGCAGGCTAGAAAGCACGAAGACCTAGTTACCGCACGGTGTACGATGATGATGGCGCGATCGAGGAACGCTTTGGTTGCTACTTCTTGCGACCGTTTAAATCTCGGTTTTATTTGACGTGCTCTTTTCTGTCTGGGACTCTTTGCATTTCGAATTCGGCTTTGTATCGCGATGTGATCGTCTTTATGGATTTTATTATTGTTATTGAATCTGTCTAATCTCGTTTTGTCTGAAGCATTGTGATCTGTCTGAGATTCTTTTTGTTTGGAATTCGGCTTTGTATCGCGATGTCTTCTGCACGTCGGTACAGCTTGTAGTTTGTAAATGATTGTAAAATGTTTTTATTTCTATTGTAAATATACTGTACTGGTTTATGAATTATAAGTGTATAGATAGAAGAGGTGATTTAGATAAAAGGGTGGTAATTAAAATGATTCAAAATTTGAAGACAGTTAAGAAACAAAATGTTCGGATTGATGAAATATTCCTTCCTGTTTGTGAGAATAATAGCTAGTAGCATTACAAGGTTACATGAAAATCGTCACGTGTCTCTTACCCAACTTCTCTAAGTAGAGACAGTGAGCACTAGGCGGACACGTTAATTAAGAACGAACCAGGCGACCATTATTCTAGGCTTGGTTCTCTCGAAAATAAATCCTTACGTAAAGTCTTCCATTCACGTTTTTAATTGATCGACGAGTTACCCAACGCATTCTATATTTAAATGACAGATAAACCACGTGTAATTACATGATTCCTCCGAATAAAGACTAAAAACAAAATACATGAGAAGTAGATGAAAACTACCCCTAAAGTAATATTAGTTCTCCTTCGCCTGGTTCATTCCAAAAAAATATACAAACTATATTTCTATATTCACATAAAATTATAAATATAACCTAAATACAAAGGTATTCGAATAACTCATAAACTATGAAACTTTGTATAAATTTTCGAAGGCAAACTTGGAAGTGAGAATTGTGTTATTCAATTCATAAATTCCGAGCACTGTTTGTACAGTTTCAAAGTGCATGGTGTTCCGTTCGATTTATATATACGTTAATTTTATTCGCGTGCGAACTAATTAGTTTAGTGAAATGTATACCATGCAAACAGCGTGCTCGTCGAAAGGATTCCATGGTACAGAGTCCGGATAGTGTCCCAGTACTTTGCTCTTATACGCCCGGTCCAGAGGTGTGCATTGTAACGAGTCCCCTGGAACAAAAGATATAATGCCTCGTTACACTCGGGCTACCATTTATCTGCCATTCAATTCCGTAAAACAATTTGTTTCGTAATTAAAATGAACTTCTACTCGATTACTTGCTTCGGTCGTAACTTGCGTGGAAAGAGGCTTGAAATATGAATTAACGGATTAAGAATCCTCGTTGAATAGTTTATAGAAATAGTACCATAGAATTGAAACCTTATTTGCATTAAATCCACCGGAAACTTCTGTCCAATAATGTCATCTCAAGTTTCCGAGGATAAGTTATTCTACAGAAATGGAATCCACAAACTACCAGCAGGAAACAGGTAATTAGTAACAGAAGGAGTTACATTGTTCAGTAAATATTAATGAATGCATCGAAAATGTATTACTTTATTTTCATTGAAAAATGGTCAAAACTTTGTGGAGCATTTCATAAATAATTTGTCATGGGAAAATATTTATCATAATAATCAATATCGTAAGAAAATGTTTATTATAGTAATGTTTGCGATTCTATAATTTCATGGGTAGTTTTCTCATCGTGTTAAATATTTTATGAATATCTTATTTACTGTGTAAACGGCGGCAGTCAACGGTTTAATAGGATATCGTATAAATTTGTTTTATCTTTTTTAAAGAGGATACTTAAGTGGATTAATATTGAAGAGTCACGGAGTAATTAAAATCACAAAGGTGTATGCTAAATTCAACGGTATTGTTTGCAAATGCGTCTGTCCGCTAATAATTTCTCAAAATCAAAATTCCAACTAGAAAATTACACGAACGAACGACGTGCACCCGTGCTGATTGACAATGAGCAACGACCGTGACATTTTGACCAAATATTTAAACATGTGTATGTATACCCGGCAAGTGACGCAAAACTCTGTCTTTCGAATTCACCGTCGTGACTTATTTCAAGATCGAACAAGATAGGGCTCATAAATGTTTCAAACCGCTGAACGATACCTGATCCGGATAGACACTCGGTTAAAAATTCAAATCAGAATGTTTCCGAATGAATTTTCATCGAATATGCTGTAACCATTTCCGACGTTCTCATGATTCTTTAAATTCCACATGCGATGCATTTTTATTCCGTTACCTAACTAACGGGTGCACTACTTTCACGTAATAACACAACACCGGTAATTCCCGAATGTAAATCTTAATGGCTGCCACGAACAGTATGTTTTCCGAGCATTTTATTACACGAAGGTAGTTACAATGTCAAATTATCGTTCAAACTTGTAAATCCGAAGAACACAATACTGTCGTACGAAACAATGATCTCTGAACGTGAATACTGACATTTATATCGAAAGAAATATTTTCTAGAATTTTTGTATACGAAGGTAGTCCTAATTTCAAATTATTGTTCAAACTTGTAGATCCGAAGAACACAATACTTTCGTACGGAAGAATGATCTCTGAACATGAATATTAAAAATATCAAAAGAAATATTTTCTAGAATTTTTGTGTACAAAATAGTTATAATTTCAAATGAAACTTGCAGATCCAAGGAATATAATATTTTCGCAGAAAACAATAATTTCTGAACAAGAATATTAAAATCTATATAAAAAGAAATAATTTTGTTGAGAATTTGTACGTAAAGAAGGTAGATTTAATCTTAAATCGTTCAAAGAAGTCAACCTATAAAAATTGCAAGTTTAAATTACAAAATTGAAAAAGGCACCTTGCAATCCAGAAACGTAGCTCTAACATCGTCGTCGAGATATCTCGCGGTGCAATGCCGTTACTCTCACGCTGCGGTCAACTTATCATGCGGATATGTTTACATTTCTCACTAGGCAGTGAGTTATTTCGCGATTAATTTGTATTGGATAACGTAAGCGCAGTGCAAATTGCAAAATTCCATTCAACGTACAATGGAACTGCGTCATAAAATATCTCGTCACCACAAACTGATTAAATCAGAATCCCCAAAATCTATTGAGAACTATATAGAACCAGACAATCAAACTCCATACAAACACACCATGAAGAACATATAAAATTGAATAATTGTAAGTAACTATCTAAAGAGATAACAGAAGATCTATAACTATAATACAAATCTCTAAAATGATGATACAAAGAGAGCTTCTTCATAGCTTCATTCGAAACGTCATTCAAAATTCTACATTGTTTATTTAAATTTATTTAAATCGCACGATAACATAATTACACAGTTTCCCACAGTTGTATGTAGCGTTACGTTATTTAGGTTAGCGAAAGATATTTAACACTTTATCAACCGCTCCTGACCGAGGCAACTAGTTGACAATGATTTTCAGCAAAACCTATGTTTTTACTTGCAAACCCCTAACTGTAAAATCAAAGTGTCAGAGAATCTCTTTATGTCCTGATTTCTTCAATTCTAAAGCAGAGTAATTTGAAAAACCAACTGAAAAGCTGATAAGCTTGTATATAATAAATAATTAACATATTGCCATCCTATTCACAAAACTGAAGGTTACCAATGCATTGCTAAATAGTCCTACCTATACAAAATAATTTTCATTTTAAAAATAAAAATGTACAAATCAACTATCCATCGTCAATCGAAAAGCTTCGTAACATCCGCATAATGTAAAAGAAACACAACCATATGCTTAGCTCTATATCTTACAACTTCTGTGTGAAGCATTCCTCTGTATCACTCATACTTTTTAAGTTATTGAGTTCTGCCGCACTGTGCCCGTCCCAATTTACAAACTTATCTTTCAACGGGCCGCGGCGGAACGAGACGTACGGATTTCGTCTAAAAAAGAACTACTTATAAAGGGGTAAAAGAGAAAAACGAGGAGAGTTTCGAAAGAAGTTACATCAGGGCCGCGCCGTGTATTCACAACACAGTCTCCGCATTGTTCTTGGCGCGACGCAGCCTAAGTGCATCTCGGAGCGTTGCGGAGCTGCTGCACGCGGCCAGCCGGACGGGGATGGTCCGCAGTCTTCTTCCTTTCCTGGGAAAAATTAGAATCTCTCCACGGCAACGTCGGCAACTTGTTATTGAACGTGGTACATATCCCCAGGCAGCTCGACCTGAATGAGACTGTTGAAGTCTTGGCGACGTTCCAGCTGCCTCGTCCACGGTGAACACAAGAGCACCCTTGTGCGGGGTTAATCGTTCATGATCGAACTGCCATCCAAGGAGACGCGGAGGAATGTGTACGCGCAGTGGCCGCGTATGGACAAAACTCCGAAATTCGACTATTCATGTAAAGAATATTAAAGGTTAGCAATGTGTCGCTAAGTAGTCTTTGCTGTAGAAAATGATTGTCATTCGAAGAATCAATTCCGTTTCTCTATCTGTATAACGCTGGCAAACGCAGAATATGCATTGTCATTGGAAACACTTTGTCCCCGTGATGTAAAAGAAGATATAACCACCGTATGTTTAGCTTTATACTTTGCAACTTTTGTCTGAAGCATTTGTTTGTATCACTCGTACTTTTTAAGTTATCGAGTTCCGTCCAGAAAACGCGTTTGGCCGCACTGTGCGTCGCGGTCAGTGAAAATTTCATTGGAATGTTTCGCAATTCAATTAAATGATTTAATATTACATTCTTTTCATTTCGTGCATTTTGCTCTGTGAAATATTTTCGTTTTCAAGTAACAGAGAAACAAAATTCTTCTGTCTGACAAGAAAGGGACAAAAGAACTCTACGTCTATGTTCTTCCGAAATCGTAGTCTCTTGTAGAATTAGTGTTAACACAAAAACTACCAAGCAGTCGAATTGATTTTATGCAAAGTTCTTATAGAAACTCTGAAAATCCATCTATTGAAATTTCGAATCATTTGTAATTCAGTCTGCGCATTACTGAATCAATTTACTTAGTATCTTCCCAGAGAAGCATTGATTACTTTTTCAATAAAATTAAAAAGAGAAATTAGGAATCAGTCATTTCGGCTCACCCGGTAGGTTTAGACCAAAACCACTAAAAGACCAGAAGAGGGTCTATTGGACCCATGTATATTCTAATTGAAAAACATATCTTTTATTTAGTTTTCCCAAGCGGAACTTAGCAAAACGAACTGGCAGTCTAATAGTGAAGTACCGAAACGCGTCAATACTCACCACCGGAGAACCAAGAAACTAATAACGCTCATATTGGATCACCCCTGCTGCGTTTCGAAAAACCGTTGAAATTAACGGTTCTTCCTTCCCAAGAAATTTTCGCGATGAGTGATCTCCTCTATTTTGAGAAGAAGGGTTGAGGAAAAGAAAGAGAAAAAACAGCGGAGAGCTGATGCACGAGTGCCCTGCAGCCCGAGTGACTTCTAGTGGTTGCAGAAAGTAGGCACCCGGATTTTAAAGTGCTCCCCGGGCCTTTTACCCCCGTTCCCCCGATCCTGCGACTCTTCCGCAAACATCATTACACCATGACGCAGTTCGTTCTGCATTATTCACGAATCACTTTTCGTTACCGTCATTATTCCCTTCCGCTCGCAGGTGCGCTGCATGCGACAAGAGAAACATCATTGTCTTTGAATCGTGGAAAAAATCGTCCTCGCTGTGTACTTGTTTTCTCCACGTTTAATTAGAGTTCCGTTTGAAACGTTCATTGCGTCCTCGTTGGTACAGAGAACGTTAGACATCCTCATCCTCTTAGCACGAAGAAACCGAGAAGGAATCTGTTACAATTTTTAGGATCATTAGTGAAACTGTCCCATTACAAAATTTTGCAAATATTCAAATTACGAAGTCATTGCGACAGATTTCCAATTAAGTTTGTATATTCGACGAGAGACCCTTCGAATTTCAATAAACGTGTTCGAACTGAATAAAGAAAGAAAATTTCGGTACAGCGTTGAACGATCCGATAGTTCTAGTGTTAAAGAGGCGGCAGGTGTTACGAGTAGCAGCTGCGCTTCTCTACGGGCGGAGATGAACAGACTCAGAAAAAAAAGGGGCAAGCCGAAAAACCGCCCCGACAATTTTTCAGGGGCCCCGAGATGCGAAATCAGAGCGACGTTTGCATAATTCTTCCGTC